CACACACACACACACACACACACGCACACAAACACGCGCACATATTTTTTTCTTATTGTTTATATATTCTAATACGTGGGGTAGTGCCAAAAAGGGGTAGAGCGGGACAGCCACCCATTTGTAACCGTCTTTACACACCCAAACAACTGCTGGTATTCCAAAGTTGTCACACCTCGCTGAACGAATAGAAAAAGCGGCCAGGAAAGATACGGCACGTGACAATCAAAAGACTACCCCTCAACCGTTCCGTGACGTGCGTCTGTACATGGCAGGCTTCTTTTTTTAAACGTTTTGCTTTTTTGTTTTTTTTAACAGCTATTTTGATGTACGTGAAGCGTTTCCTGTGCAGAAAGTCAATTCGGCCGGGTCCTCCTTTTTGTTTTAGTTAAAGAGTTTTTCGGCACTTGCAACACAGTAAGGTAATATCATAATAATATAAGTGCTGACTATTAGAGGTGTTACAAGTGAGTAACAAACACAATAAAGAAGGAGGAGAGATCAGGATGATAATTATTGTTTGGTAGGAAAGAAGGAGCAAACCACACCAGAACACCCGCCAACCATCCACCAACCTGGTCATAGGCATGCACACAAACACTTTGTATAACGACTGTCGCAGTAATTGACGCATAATAATATAGGGAACGCTGTTATTGTTATTGAAAGTGCACAGAGCTACTTATTAGGGAAAGCTATTTTTGAAAATTCACAGAGCTACTAATTAAGGGAAAGCTACTGTTTAAAGTCAACAAAATGCTTTTAATTAGGGGAAGCTTTTTATTGAAAGTCAAGCCGAGAGCTGCTTGCAGGAAAACCCGTCATCGCACCTTATTTGCTCTTTTCAGAGTTTCACTTACAGTATAGACAGATACAATTTGTTATATTAGGGTGTGCACAGAACAATGGGAGGGAAAGGGGAGGACTGGGGGGGGGGGGGTATGGACAGGATACGCTTGAAAGATTATCATTTGGGTTGGCCTGCGCTATTCTGTTGAGAGGTGTGAGGAACGTACATGACTGTAAAAACAGTGTTGTGAAAGCGGATCAGAAGCAGGCAATGTATCCCCGTGGACTTGAATTATAATACATTATCGTAGCTCGTGTAATATCATGGCCACGGCTCTTTTCTGTCTATTAAAAATTCGCCCCGAAGTATGCACAACATGGGCGCCCAAATGAAAGGCAAACCACTAGTCTCGCTTTAGTCAAGTGTGCGCGCCACCTTTCCCTCTTTCTCCTCCATTTGGTTCCAAATTGAGTCAAACGGTAGGCCTATGCTCCATAGTAAA